TGTTTTCCTAAAACAAGAAATATGAAGTGAAGGTACTATAAAAAAAAGTATAAATGCGGTCGTCCGTTGAAGGAAGAAAGTCGCAACCATGCGTGGCTTGTTATATAAAATCCAGCATAAATCTATTACGTTTTTGCTGAGAGTATCGTGTTGGACTTCCCAACTTGCATGCAATGTTTGTCGGAGAAATTAATTACAAACACTTTGCTTACTCTCGAACTGGATCCAGCGGAACATACAAAAGAACGCTGGTAGCAGGGAAAGAAGAGCTGAACTTCAAAGATCTACAATCAGGCTAATTCTGCAGTCAATATTATTATTAACGTAAGTTCCTGGCGGCTTTATAACGTCTATAACCAGCAAGAAGAAGTCCTCAATCAAAAATCGCTAAGGATTATAGATCGCTTCGTCTTCAACAATCCGGTCGTTGATAAAGCGTAGCCTGCGTGGTAGGCGTTTGAGGTCAAACAGCAGATAACAAGTACACAGGCAGCATGATTTTTCCTTTCTTTCTTCTAGTGAGTAAAACGAGGCCGTTGGGAGACAAGACCTCTCAAAACCAGTCAGCAAAACTCATCTAGCTGACAGGTCTTTTCCTTCACACGAGTCTTTTAACTGCTTTCTTCTATTCTCCTTTCAAGCTGAAATAGATGCCTTCAGTTTCTAATCGTTCTAAAACGATGAATTCCATACAGAAATCTCATCACGCCTCACTAACAACATATTTTTAAATGATTACTGAAAGATCGATCAAGTTAATCAGTAGCGTGATGTTGATTTCAGCCAATCGGATTAAGTTATTAAGGCTGTAATTGACATGTTTTGAAGACGGACCAATCAGGATTTTAACATTCGCCTAGTGGATGTTAAAAACGAGAAAAACAATGGTCTCCTGGCAGGCGTTTCCCTCCCTCCCTCCTCGCGCGTCCCTCGCGTTTCTCTCGCACCTAAAACTCCCTTTCCCTTCCCTTTCAAACGCCTGCCACGCAGGCTAAGAATCATCTTGTTAACGTGTCGAGAGTGTTCTAAACAGCTTCAAAAACAACTCCCAGAGGATTATATAAAAAGCTTGTTTTGCCCAAAAAGTGCGAACAAAAAAATCAAGATAACAACGATTGGTGAACGGTAGTCGAGTAAATGAATTTTCAATTTTCAATTGAAATGACGACCATGTCGATGATACTGATGATGATGAATCCTTTGTTTCTGAACAAAAGGATCGCAGCCTCCAGCTGAAGACCAGAATGTAGTGACTACAGTGAATGCAGTGTCAAGAAAGCAATAAACCCAACTTATGCCCAGCTTATAGTCTTACAGAAATTCAAGGGTTTTTTTATTTATAATATGCTTCGCTGTTTGTTTAATTTTTGCAGGTTACGTCATCTTGTCCATTTTTTTGGGTTTTGTGTGTGTTTTTCTCGCAATTATCTTCAAGTACGCGAAGATTTTTTTGTCACCAGAGATGTGGAATGCATACAAACAGAGGATAATTGCATTCCTGTAAGTTAAAACATTATCGTTACACGATTTTCTTAGTCCATCTCAATTTTTCGGAGTCGAATAATAGAAGGGCGGTCTTCATGAAGCTCGGTGAAGGGCCTCGCCCTTTCAGCTTTAATACTTGTTACTGCAATTATCCAATGGAGCCTCTACAAGAAAACATCCACGTGTCTAGTGAGAAGAGTAGACTTCAGAAAACCTCGGACTCAGATAGTTAAAAGGTCATGATTGCAATCAGTTCGTGTACATTCGTATCATATCTTGCATAAACTCGTTAAGCGTTTGTCCCATTTGTACCTGGTATACAGCCTTAAACGTTTCTCTAGTTTTCCCATATCTCAAGTGGATAAAGCGCCGTTGGGTGTTTGGGATGTTGGAGAATGGAATCCTGTATGGCACCCAAAACTTTGGCATTTTTGACGAGTGTTATCCATCTCGACGGATTATCCGTCGGATAATTCATCTCAGACAAGGAATCCGTGTGCGAAAGTGGGACGGTTTTTAATTTTGGGGAATAATCTGCCTGGCCATCCCTTCTTGGTATGATTATACTCGTCTCTTTATTTTTCTTTATTTTGTTATTTCGGATTTGGATACGGATTATCTGCCTTACATGAAGCCTGAGAAAACAGTCGACGTTTCGCGGAGCAACCAACAGTTTCTTCTTCGAGCGAAGAAATTCCATACTGATGACATGTCACTACCCTCAGGATGGAATTTCTGCGCTCGTCCTTCAGTCCTCATTTCGCGAGGAAAGCATCCTGGTGGCGTCGCAAAATGTCGGCTTTTTTCTGAGGCTAAAAAACATGGACAATACATCCACGTCAGCAGTATGAAAACGGCCTTTGTGTCCCATTATTCTGAAGTGCCCATTGTTAGCCGTTTTCACCCTAGAGACGGATAATCCGTCATCACAATCAGTCTATCCATTTCAAGCGTGAAAGCTGTCATTAGGGAAACGTTTCTTATTTTCAGATTAACCACTCTTACTTTCGTTAACAGACCAACAGTGAGCATGGTTGTTTTCTTGGTGGTGTTCCAGTTGTTCCTAGCTCACTTCGTTTTCCGAAACAGAGATTTTCCAGACATAACCGTTACTGTGGATAACAGGTACATTTATACCCTACCACTGTATGTCTTGAGACTGTATACGCCCAATATTATGCAGATTTAGAAAAGACAATGTGACGACAGTGACGGCGATGGCTTTAGAGAAAGATTAGAGGAAAGCATGGGGGACAGTAGCAAGCCAACTGTTGAAGACGCTGCCGTGGTTATTCTGACTGAAAACGACGTACCTTCTGCATCAGGATTTTTTTGAATTCTGTACTGTGATAGTGAAGATTAGTTGCATTTCTGAAACTCTTGATAGTGACCTTTAGATTCGAGGACGAGAACGAATACGAGTACGAGATTCAACTTAATTTTTTTTCGCCTATTCTAAAAAATAGACGCCCCGAAAAGCTTCATTGTACCTTTTTTTTTTTTTTCATTAGAAAATATAGCACTGTTATATTTATTGAAGGAGGTTAAGCCCTCTGTCGATCGCAAAATGATTAAACTTCTAACATTTGATAACTTGTTCCCGCCACTACGACATTCTCGCTAGAATTTGTAGTAGAATGACGACGTCTACCAAGTTTTCCCGCCAAAGTGATGTTGGTTCACGCGTGCGCACTACTCACCATTGAGGAAATCTCGTACTCGTAGTCGAACTCGTCTTAGAATCTTAAGGTCTTTATTGCAGTCTGGAACGCAATGGTTGTAGTGCCCTATCAGGGTAGTCTTTTATGGTGTCCCTCTAAATGAATGAGGAAGCTTTGTGGTCGCACATCATATACTCGTTTAGAACACTTTGTCCCAAACGTTTTGGCCTGGGTTGAAGTTTTTTTCTTTTCACTTAGAAATTAATTAAAGGAAATTATTAAAATTGACAGATCTAGAGATAAGGAATAGCATTTGTTTAAGTTCTTTAAGTCCAGTCTAAATGTAAACTTCTTAGCGATGTCGTTGTTTTTTGTTTTTTTTTTTCTTTCAGACGATTGTTTTCCATTATGTCATACTTCTTTTTCTTCTACAACGTAATTGTTGGATTGTTTGCTTGCGTCATGCGCATTTTGAAAGGAATGATCCTGGGAACTGTGTTTTTGTCTCGTATTGACCGGACATCACTGATGCAGGGATTCCAGACTTTGGACCAGGGTACGTACACATAATTGAAGTTATAATGATGATGATGATGACGACGACGACAACGACGACGACGACGACGACGATGATGATGATGATGATGAAGATGATGATGAAGATAATGACGATGAAAATGACGATTTCAATGATGATGAAGATGCAAAAATGCCAAACCATTCATTACTGCTGGCGCGCTTGGGAAGTTGACCCCAGAACTTCGCAAGCATACCGATTTTAGAGAGTTGTGAGGGCCTGTGTTGCCAATGAAAGGCCCCATATTTCCGAAAAGTAACCCATGGCAGGTAGTAACGGTAGCTATGTCGCACATAGGTTGGCAACATACATGTATGAGAACCAGGCTTAGTCATTTTAACGTGGTTGTTGTTGTTGTTTTAATTATAAGTGCGAAAAACTTGATCAATTGTTTGCGGCTTCTGATTCATACAACTCTTCAGTACTTTGTGATAGATGTCTATGAAATAAATCACTACTTCTACAGTACTTTATAGAACCCTATTATCTCCACGTTTTTCAATCGCTTGTTTGCTAACCTACCCGTGACTGCATACTTTAGCTCAATCAGCTATTAGTGCACCATAAAATACACAAAGAGTGATTATAACTGTTTCCTTTTAGCCTTTGTAGCGTACCTTGGATTTATCAACGTTCTTGTGGCGCACAGCCATCCCGTGATGCTGGTGTTCTGTCAACTGTTGATTAAAAGAAAGAAAGGTCGCGGGCTCGAAGAGTCTCTTCCTGAAATCCAGCCACGCGAATCTGATGTTGAGTCAGGAGAAGGGAGTTGTATGTATTTCCTCGTCATTTATACGTGAATATTAGAGCCTGATTTCTCACTCCAAGTTCATGACACAATCTCGCCCCCACAGATAATTCTGACTTTCGTCAGCCCTTGTTCTCTTTTCTGTTATTGTTCAGGAAAATGAATGTAACTTATACTTTTTGTGTTAAAACATGTCCTTACTTCTTCAAATAGAAGTTCACAAACGCAACAAAGGAGGCTTAGGGTATGATGAGAGAGGACCATTATCCTTCGTTAAGAATAAACATCCTGAATTTTTGTTGGGTAAGAGACGCTTAATAATTTTTTCTTTTCTTTTTCCTATTCAGCTTACACTCGAGAGACTCGTCTCCCACGCATGACTTGTAAAGCAGCCAACCGCTGGCACGTCGCTGTGACACTGCTTCGTAACCCGTCTCTTATCAAATATCGAAAGCAGGGTGGTCAGAGAGTTCTGTATTTTGAGGACCTAGGAAGCATCAACAATGATGATTTAAACGCTCTTGTTTAGAAAAAAAATTAAAGAGCTTTGTTGTTCAGATTCAAGTGCGAACACGTCGAGAAGAGAAATTGCGAGGAGGGAAGAAGATTTCGTTTTGTTCTCTTCTTTATTCTCGTCACGGCTACGGCGAGATCTATTTCCCACCATTGGTAACCAAGTCTTTAGTTATGATAGATGTAATATATTCCCTGGATTAAGTTACATTAAGTCAAATAATACGTTTTTGAATAGTGTTAGAAAGAGTGACGTTGAAGCCCACGTTGAATTTTCGTTCAATGTTACGGAAAGGGCCGGGGTCACCTGTTATTGATGTAAACGTTAAGAAAGACAGTTTGCTAGTGGATATACTTAAATTTTTCGGAATTTTGGCGGGTCGTTGTTGTAGTGTAGTGCTAAGAGAGAGATTCGATTTTCTTTCTTTTTAGTAGAAATACTCCCAATAAATAGGTCAAAAATTTTCTAAGTGTCTTAAAATTTGCAGTGACCGTTAACGAAAGGGACGGCGAGTGAGTAAAGGTTATTCTGTCGTGCTCCAAAGAAACTGTTAGCTACGCAGGATAAAACAAATTTCTATATAAGCGTGTTTTGCTGTTTTCAAGGTAACGATCGATACAGACACGTTATTTGATTGCCTAGGTAAGATTGCGTGAGCTTATAGTTAAGAAACTTTGGTTTTCATGTTATTCGTCGTCTTTACTCACAGATAAGAGTAATGTTGAGATGGAAAGTGACATTCATTTGAATATATCTAGCTGCGCCTGTCGTTTTTCTTAAATTTAAGGTCGTCACTTTTGCAGGGCAGGTTTTTTAGCTTTACCGTCTTTTGCCCGTAGAATGAAAGCAGAAAAAAAATCGGTTGGCCAAAACAGTGGAACCCCGATATAAAGATCCTCGATATAACGATGTTTCCGGTATAACGACGATTATTCCAGTCATCTAGACAACCTTCGGGTGAAATTCTACCCTTAAAGACTCTATCCGTAGTTTGAGCTATTAACGGAGTCGCAATCTTGTAGCAATAGTCGTTAAAGCATTAATGGATTCTGAGTAACAATAGATGTTGAGTTTCAGAAGTATATAGTGTTCTGATATTGCATTGCATTATCACTGAATAGAAACGATACTAAAACCTGTAGGATTAGAGGAAAAAACAATAGAATATAGATTTATAAAAACGCTGTTATTATGGTTTTGATGAAATCGTTCCGCCTTTAATTAAATGTTTAATTTTGTTCTTTATTGGTTTCACGAGTGTCGGCTAATTTTGCCCTAAAACGTTGCGAGTCACGTGACTTTTTTACCACTCCATTTTTCCTTTAAAATGCTCAGCACGTTTAAGCCCTCAGCAAAATCTTTTTGCTCAGATCTGGACCAAGTACTGTTTCTCCCACGTCTCGGGCAGCTACAAGACGACAGTTTTTTAAATTCGTTTTGGCCTATCCCTTCTTCAAATCATGTATCATATCGGACTTCATATCAGGAGTGAGCGTCTATATACAGCGACATACGCCTGTGCGTCCAACTGAAATCTGGGTTTTTTTAATTTCCTTAAAGCATTTTTATCATAAAATCGGGATGACTGATAAATTTTTTGCATTGTTTTTTGTTGCTGTCTTTGTCTTGTTATTTTCTTCATCTTTTTTTTTTTTTGATGTGGAGAGAAATGGATCCCACTTTGAAGCCACAGACCTTGGTTGAGTCTTTTGACTATGTATGTAGGCTAATCCCCAATTCTATCCTGGTGAAAAGCGTATTTACATGACGTCACGGCGGCCATATTGGTGTTCCAAAACAATGAAACGGCGGCCATGTTGGTGTTCCAAACCAGTCCTGTGGGAGTTGAACTCGAATCTTATGAAAATACTTTCGTTTGAAGAGCACACATCTCGCCCATATCTTCTTACCTTGTTAATTTCGTCACTATTGCCCTTTTTCCGTTATAAAGTCACTGTAACTCACTGAGAACACTAGAGATTGGTGAAAAAAACGGGGCACCCAACGACTGTTTTCTGTGAAATATCTGTTCGGAGAAGCAAAAATTTCCATGAATTTTCTATAGCTTTCTAGATGACCGTCCCATTAATGTACACATTTTCCAGACTTGTGTAAGAAATACCCTACGATTTTCTGAAGTTAAATTTTCCCCATTTCCCCAAGATTAAGCTATTTTTCGTAGAGAAAGGAAACCTAAGATTTTCGGAATCGGAAATACGATCCAGAGAGAAATCAGAAAATTCTCTCTTTCGTAAAACTTTAAATTGCAGCTAAAATTTTCGGAAAACATTATTGAGGCCATTGTCGAAAAGATTCAAGTTGCCCTAGTATTATGACCGAACAGATATATTTTTTTTAACGCCACTTAGAATACATTTCTAGAGATCTGAAAGTACCCTGGTTAGCCTAAAAAGTGTTTTCAATGCAATTAGGTGAAAACCGCCGTTGGGTGCCCCTGAAAAAACGACTACTGAATTTTCCTTCGTCTTAGTTTACTGAAAATTTCCTGCGGAAAACGCAGGAGATGTCAACTCAGAGACCCTAAATGGAGGGGCATGTCCCAAGACGCCCTTGGTTAGGGCTCCTTCGGGGCGCTAACTTTCTTCTCGTACGTACACTGCCTCGTCCCCAGTCGCTCGCGATCACTAGGGTATTTTTGAGTTAATTATTAAGTAAAGCTGGGACGAACGGAGTGATGCTCGCGAGTTCCCCAATCCCCACTTAGCCTTGGGAAAGCCTGTGGAGGAGGCAGGTACGTAAACCTTTTGAGTGACTGAGCCATGACGATTCTGGGCTGTGGGGGAAAACAGATTCTGACATTTCACATATTTTCGTTGTATGTAGCACTGTAAGTTGCTTTTTGGCACAGTGTTGATTTATATAGTAACCAAATGACGCATTACCCTAAGAAAAAAAGAAAAGACAGTGAATAACACCCACAACACAAAAGCGAACCAACATTGGGCAAACATCTCCTTTTTCCTTTGTTGCTATATCCGGGCGGCACCCAACGACGGTTTCCTCCTAAAAACATTGAAAGCTCTTTTCAGGCTAGCCAGAATACTTTTAGACCTCTAGAATTGCATTCTAAGCGGCGCTATAAAACTTGCATCTGTTCGGTCATCCGAGGAAAATTCGAGTCCTTTCGAAATTGCAAGGGCTTTGGTATTGTTTTCTCCAAAAGTTTTAGATGCGTACCGTATTTTTTCGATTAAACGCCGCAGCGTTTATTAGATTTTTAGCGTTCCCAATGCGGCGTTTATTCAAGGGTGGCGTATATTTCGAAATCACATTTTTAAATCACTGAAATCAGTTATTGTGGTCGTTTGTAAAAATAATTATATTATGTTATTTAAATGTTGCAATGTTGCACTTAATTTGCTGCGATAGAATCGTAAATATCTGGATGGTGTAAATTACCAATTTATTCCAAGGTTTTTCTCATTATCCTCGAATAAACGCCGCATTTCTCTGATTAGGTGCGGTGTTTATTCGAGGGCGGCGTTTAATCGAACAAATACGGTATTTTAGATGCATATTACGAAAGTGAGAATTTTTCTAAGTCCTCTGTCCATCACATTTTTTAATCCGACAACTTTAGGTTTCCGTTAATTTTCTGGGAAGAGTGAAACTAAAGAAGATCATAGGGGCTTTATTAGATGACCTTCAAAAATTGTGGCCGTCCTCAGAATAAAAAAGCGAATTGTTTTTCTCTTGAAGTTTCGTCTTGCATATCTACGCATAATTTATGAGAGACGAAGGGTCAAGTTCCCCTGGGACCTCTCTAGGAAAACAAAACATTCAAGGTCTATTGTTAGTTGAGGCTCATGCTTTGTGCGTGACATATTCAGTTGTAGAACAATGCGGAATATTTCTTGTCACCTGGTGGTGTAACGAGGGAAAGTCGGCACATCGAGTTTCATACACACGATGAACAAGCTCCACTTTGCTTTATTCTGGTTTTCTACGCGCCGGCTAGCGACTATATTTTAGCGCTTTCCGCCGGATTTTAAAACGATTACCATCAAGTTTACTGATTGAAATGGCAAAAATGGGCGACAACTCTTCAGGGAGTTCCAACGACACAGGGTGAGTATAAATTATCGTTAACTTAATGTCAAGAAGGGCGCAATCATGGTTTTTGCACTCATCCAGCACTAATAGGGACCTTAAGATACCCTGGACGCGGCGGTAAAGAGAACGGAGAAAGCCTGGAGCGAGGACGCCGCCACCTTCGTCTCTTAAAGTTTTCAAATACTATCCTAAAGCGAGAACGTTGTCCCCTTAAAAACAAGCAGTTATAGTGTTACATTTGTGTCGAAAGTCTCAGCACTTTCATTCTCAGTTGCCGCCAAAACGCTGAACCCAAAAGGCTTGATAGCAAAAAAATAAGAGGCAATCTTGAGAGAACACCTCACTAAAAACACTTAAATGTCTCATTAAGTAAAACGGATCGAAAATCCTGTACGAAAAGCAATTTCTGCACTGAAAACAAGAAAACCAACTCACCGTTTTACGAGGCGGCCAAACTTCTAGTTTTCACCGTCGCGACTTCAGGTCGACGTTGTGGCATTATGCTAATTAGTTCCAAGAATTGAACATTTCACTTCCGGTTGACGTCCTCCTCGGCCGCGTCCAGAGTATCTTAAGGTCCCTAATATCTCAAGAATAGCGTTTGGCTCACGCTGGGCTCAGAAGACGAAACCATGTTTGTGACACTTAGAACTTTTTCAGCTCGACTGCCGATCAAGCTTTTCAAAACACTAAATGACCGACAGAGTTCTATATTCTCGGTACATTTCGCTTGACTTTTCTTAATCGACCCATGAGCTACCCATGATAGTTTGGTTTAGCTGGATTTTTTCAATTTGTGAAACGTACTGAAAAGACAGAACTGCCGGTCATAAGTATTTTGAAAACCTTGACCGGTTACCGGCCGTATGAACCACAGCGTTGAATTGAGTTCGACAAATAAACTTTAATAACACTGTTATTGTTGAAAACAGCAAAATTAA